ATTAAGAGAATCAAATCAATATTCACTAAAATCTCATTAAATAATATAAGATAGAAGATCTGATATAATTGAATCTTAAGAATATATAAATCACACATTTATCTTATACACTAGATTACTATCATATCAGGTATAAAGTGATAGAAGTTCTAGATAGTTATAACTACTGTCTTAACACATTATCCGAGATTCATAATATATTTCATACAAGCTTACTTTATCACACTGTCACTGACTTATTCTCTTCTCAACTGACTTCTGACTGACAGCTGCCAGACATCATAGAAGAAGATAATGAGCTTAAGTGAGAGATTGAGAATATTCTTGATAAGAGACTCTGTGACTGCAGCTGATAATATCTTATGAAATGAGTCAGCTATAATTAACTGATCTGAACTCTGAGTTTCATGTTATTTAAAATAGCAGCTCTTGACTAATGAAAACTGCTTCTAAAAGAGAGAGACTAATGTGACAGGCTTCACTCAATTAATTATATAGACTATTCTGTTACACTTCATATATTTTAATCACTTCATTCTCAAATACATATGCTTCAATTCACAGCCATTCTTGATCATCAATCTTCAGCTGTCACAAATGCATATGCTCTGATTCTCAGCCATTCTCAATCACTGATTCTCAGCTGCTACAAACACGTGTATATTCTTCCGCTCTGAAGCTTCACCGCGTACACCACCACATACATATATAAATATTCATCTCAATTGCTGATTCTTGCACTTTCTCTTTCTTTCCTTCTCTAATGTTTTTATCTTTGTTAAATAAGACCTATAATATTATACTGATCTATTCGGCGTAGGCCTCTTACATTACAGATGAATAAGAATACTCACAGTTTATAAGAATAAGAACTGTTATAGAGAAAGAGAAAAGAAGATAAGATTTTATAAATAGATCTGAGATATTTATACTACTCTAGAGAGATTTATTTACATTATAAGTAATTCTATAGAATAGTCAGATTACTTTAGTAAATAAAAAGTAATTATAAATCACAGATCTGAATCTTTTTATATAACTATAAAGAGTGATTGTAGATTACAGACATCTTAATTCTATAATTCTACAGAGTTAGTAAAAGAATGAAAAATTTCTTATAACTGTATAGTATTAAAAAATAATGATTTATAAGAATAAGTGAAAGATTAACTTATAAATACTTCTCTTTAATAAAGATAATTTTATAGAAAGTAATTCATCTGCAGAATAAATCTATGTAATAATTATACAAGAATCTCATAGAAAAATAATTGAAGATTAACTGAAACTCTTTAAATTAAAATATATAAGATAAATCTGTCTAATAATTATATAAGAACCTTACAGAAATAATTGAGAGTCAACTGAAACTCTTCTATATAAAAGATATAAGATGAATCTGTATAATAGTTAGAGAAAGATCTGTAAATTATAAAGAATCTTATATAATAAAAAACTGAGTAATAGACTCTTTTCTCTTTATAGTAATAAGAGATTTTTTCTCACTGAGATTTTTTATAGATATGAAGAGTTTTTAGTAAGTATTACTACAGTGCTAAGCTGAATTCTATGAAATTACTCAGTGAAAGACTTTGCAGATAAAGTCTTAGAGAGAAAAAAGTATATAAGAAATCTTACTTCTTACAGATTCTTTATCTCTATTTCAATCTCTTATATAATTAATAGAATTAGCAGCTCTTGACTACACATAACTATATAGACTGAAGTTTACAAATACTATTTATAACTCAGCTTAAATACTATTATGTATTTAATCTTTATATTTATCTTTCTATTATAAATACTTCTAGTAGCTATCAGTATATATTATACTAAGCTGTAAACATCTGAATAATCACCTTCAAGCACTTATTCTTACAGACAATTATACTAGCTTAAGCTTATAATTATAAAAAATATAGTAGTACTATATAAATATTCTATCATCTATAATATTAAATCTTTATCTCAAAGCTTAAGAAAATAATATTTTGCCCCAGTGACTGAATAATTAATGTGATTACTCAGTAGTGCCTTAATATGAAAAATCAAGACATGTGAGTTTGAAACCTGTAGAGAATACATTAAATTCAGAACTCAAGTATCTCAGATTTCTAATAAATATAGAGGTGTATAAATTACTTTAATAAATTGCTCTATGTTTCTGAGCTAAGAAGTTATTATCACATGTATTTAATTATCACTTCTTTGTATTTTTCTATGTTCTCATTATCTTGATATAATCTTAACACCTGTATTTCCTTCTATATAATCAACACTTGACCTGTATTTAACATTATACAAGAACTCATTATAAGCTTCACTTGCATATAAGTATAATGAAAGAAGAAGAAGAATAATAATAATAATAAGAAAATAATTACTAAATATATTAATCAGTACTCTATCTATTAGATTACAGTATCTTATTATTATTAACACTTTAAATAGTTATACTTTATAGACACTTTTAAGAAGCTGTTTATCTCTCTTTTAATAAATTTCATTACAGACTTATTATAGTTAAATAATTTACATAATAAACTGCTTACTATAATAGATAAGTCTTTTAAATATATTTAACTTATTCTGAATAGAAAGAATAATTCAGTCAGATATTAAGCTATACAATTTTTTAATAAAATTATATGTTTTTAAGAAATTCTTAAGTAGATTAGAATTATTAATTTCTTAATATATTCTGAAAAGAGCTTTTTCAGTATTTCAATACTGCTCTATATCTCACAACTATCTATTATTTAAGTATGAATAAATAAGTGAAGTGTATTAATTAAACTGTGAAAATTATCTTATAATTATTACTAGTTAATAAATCTATAACTATATAAGATACACTTCTTCTACAGATTAAGTTTAGTATTAATATAGTAACTTTAGAGATTACTGATCAGATATTCTTTACAGTTCTTTATAAAGTTAAACTAATACTTACTTTTACTTCTCAGCTGTATAATTAACTCTTCTCTATAAATAACTTTATAAACTTCTATTCTCAGCTGTATTAACAAGTTCTTAATACTCTTACTATAATAAAAGTTAGAATATTCTTATATTTTAATAGTAATTATTAATTAATAGAGCTTTCTGAACAGATCTATCTACAGATAATATAAAAAGATAAATATAATTATACTCTTTTAAAATAATTTACTCTGTATCTAATTAAAGTCAGTCTATTCTATATAATTGAAAAAGTTAGCTTATTAGTCTATTATCTGTAATTATCTCTGTAATTTTACAGTATTTATTCAGTTATATTTATTATTTATTTAAAACTCTATATATCAAATGAATTTAATTAACTACTATCTATTAAATCAGATTACATTGTGAATAATAATAAATTTTAAAAAGTTAAAGAAATTATGAACTCTTATATATATTAAGAATCTTATAAGTAATAATTAAAGATGTAATAAATAAACTGACCGTGTAACTGTGTCTGAGACCAGAATCAGAATTTTTAATAGTTTTATTATCAATTCAACTGATTTCATTACACAGTTTTAACATTAGATAGTAGTTTTATACTGTCTCAGTGAAACTTACTATCTACTCTTATTACATTTTTCAAATAAGATCATGATTTTCACTTCTTAATTTAAATTATTTTTATTGCTTTAAATGACTTTAAATCTTATTTAAGTATTATTAAAAAGTGTTACTTTTTAAAAAATTAAAAGTAGTCTAAAAAAAACCTTAAAATATCTAAAAATAGTAACTTTATGCTAAGAATGAGACTAAATGAGATTAAATGAGATCACTTTCTTATTTTTTTCAAGTCATGATTTCATTTTAAGATCTGATATATAGTTACTTTATATGTTTTTTTAATGACTAGTTTCAGTGGAATTCACATCAAGAAATGTATGAGATCAGATCAAATGAGATCAAATATGAAATTCATAATCTCAGTGATCAGTCTAGTAATGAAGTTATAAAGAAGAATTATAAGAAAATTATAATATTCTTATACAAGATTACTCTTAGATAGTACATCACTGAGATAATATAAGACAATACACTCAGTGTTAACATACTTAACATCTCTTACCTTGTATGTTATAAAAAGCATGTATCTTAGCTTGTACTGATATTGAGGATGATATCATTTTTTCTGTAAAGGAATGGTGTCATATATACATGACCATGTGTTACGCGTATGACGTGTTCATACGCGTAACTCTCAGCATGCCTGCGTATTCTGAGAACCGCCCATCTTTTCTAACCTTTTCTCATTCTTCTCCTAGCTATTCTGCTTCAAAGAATCAACTATCTTTCATATTTCTGATTACCTAGCGTAACACACCGTTCAATTGGCGGACGAAGAACACATGCCTACTCGCTGTTGGTGACTTCGGACAGACACCCTTTTCTCTATCCTGAGACAAACAGGCGCGATTCACATGGCTAGTCTTGCATGCTCAAGAACGAAGATATTATGATGGGGAGATAGAGAGAGGGGGAGGATTGTCCATTATTGAATATTCAAAACATTCATCGCGACACTAACCCCAGTGCCTATCTCGGTGGGTTACGAGCGAGCAGTCGTCGTGGCAGTACACCATTAATTGCTACTAACGTAGTAGCAGGTAGTTAGACCTGCATGTGCAACATCAACGTACAAAAAAGAACCATACATGCTGACCTATTGGCTTCTTTGTTCTTTGACAATAATTTATAGTTTCGGGACAGCCAGGAGCCATACCTAGTCTGAGGCTCACCCCACCAGAAAAAAAAAAAAGAAAAAAAGGTTCCTGGATTGCGGGCTCAAATCAGCAGCTTGTATTGTACAGTAGTAAGTTGCTACAGGAAGCTAAAGAAACTTTGCTCCCCCTGTCAAAATTCTGAGTTAATAGTAGCTTAGCTTAATAAACATTAACTTATTTAATTATCTGTCTCAGGAGGTGTCAGAAGTCAGGAGTCGGCTGGCCTGGTGGGAGCTGGTAGCTGGTGGCACATGTGTAAAGTATTTAAGTAGTAGTTATGTATCATGAAAGCAGCAAGCGAACACACGAGCTAAGTTATAGGCTGTATTATTATTATCATATCGGTATTATTATCACAGGCAGAGAAATCAGAGAACAGAGAACACTACACTACACTACACTACTCCATCCGATCGAACCCCCCGTCTAGGGCGAGCCTAAACCTGAACGGCGTCTCATGCAAGCATCATCTTGTCCAAGAGCAGAGGAAGGGAAGAGAAGGACCAGACTCTCCACCCCCCATCCCATCCCATCCCACTTGTTTAGCCCAGTTGAAATTCCAACGGGCGGCGGCGGGGGTGTGGTGTTGTTACGTTCGTTACGTGGTTACGAGATCGGGAGCTGGATGGTTGTGCCTTGGTTTTAGCATGTGCAAGAAAAATGGCAATCACGGTCGTCAATTTATTGCTCTTTATTATTTTCGGCCCTATGCTATGGTCTCTCCCACATGTATGTATGTAAGTTAATGTTATGTATGTATGTACGGTGCATGAAGGGGTCTTCTTCTTCTTCTTGCAAACGATGCGACTTCCGAGGCTCAGACGCAGCAACAAACTCTCCCCCCCGCGCCTCGAATCGATTTCTACACATAAGATATCTATCTCCTGATCCCCTCGTGTTCTTCTTGTCTGCTTTTTCTTCGTTTCTTTTCTTTTCGTCTTCCAGATTGAAACAAACATATTACTTCTTATTTTCCACCTTGAACCCCTCCAGCTACCCCCTCTATAACTAACCACCCTCTCAAATACACACCCCCACACACACATACACTGTGCATACATACCTCTACAAAAATGGCTGCTCCAACCACCGTCACCATGCACAACCTCAATGGCACTTGGGTTATGGTATGCATTTATTTATTTTATTCCATATACTATATTAAATCAAAAATCAAAAATAAAAATAAAAAATAAAAATAAAAATAAAAGAATACTAACGATTAACCCCAGGATAAATCCATCTCCAACGACCCCGATGGCATCTTCAAACTGGTGAGCCGATAGCTCCCCCTCTGACACCGTTAGCATACAACATTTTTTACATACGAAAAAGCCGAAATAGAAAAAAAAGAAAAAAAGAGAGAGAGAGAGAGAGAGAGAGAGAGAAAATGAAGAAAAAACACAACATCTAACCAACCCCCATCTCACAGCAAGGCATGTCGTGGCTCACCCGCACAGCCATCGGCCTCGCCACCGTAACCTTAAAAATCAAACAGACGAAAAACGACCAGGGCGTCACCGAGCTGGCCATCGACCAGGTCCTCACCGGCGGCGTCAAGGGCACCTCCGAGCACCGCGTCCTCGACTGGTCCGAGCGCGACCACACCGACCACATCTTCGGCGACCTCACGGGCCAGAGCCGGTTCTTCAGAGCGGGCGCGGCCGCCTCCGAAGGCAAGAGACTGCCGGACGTCGACGTGCAGACCAAGACGGGCGATGCAGACAAGGATGTGACCGTGGCTAAGTTCCTGCGCGGGGAGATGCTGGCGAACGGCGATCTGACGGACGGGTTTGTGGTTGATGCGGAGAACGAGGAGTTTGTGCAGAGTTGGGTGCGGAGTAAGGAGAATGGGTGGACGGGGGAGCAGGTGGGGGTTTTCCTTTGTTTTCTTTCTTTCTTTTCTCTATCTATATCTGATGCTAACACCGTGATCTAGGTCTGGGGCTTCGAGATGGTCGATGGCGTCAGACGGTACACGCGCCGCATCGTCGTCGCGAAGGGCGACCAGATCGAGATGGTCCGGCTGGTCTATACCTTCGTGAGCGAGAGTACTGAGTAAGAGGATAGGAGGATACAATGGGACGTTTTATATGCCGGTACCGATATATGGATAATATATATGTCAGGGAATGAAATCTCGTTCGCATTTTGTTTCTGTTGCACGGTGTACTCCGTATTGTCTTGTCGAATATCATTTTATGAACCAAGCAAGATACAATTGCACTATTACTACTACTACATACCCACGCCCCCAATTGAGATAGCGAGCCCTGTTGTCTTTCTTTTAATGATAGAGAAGAGCTTGGGTGATTCTTATTTCCTTTTTTTTTTTTTTTTTTTTTTTTTTTTTTTTTCCCTTTCAAATATTAATTTCATTTCCTTTCCGGCTTTTCTTTTATTACGCATATTATTTATGTTACGTGTGCTTGCGCTGTATATACCTGCATAAACTACGCTGCACTACACTACACTACACTACACTACACTACACATATGAATCTACAGTGTTGTTGTAAAATGTGTACATTCATAAATATAACTGTGTATATATGCAGATCCAATCTGTCCAAATCATCAAAAACAAAACCAACCCCATGAACACAAAATAAAATCGAGGACCAGCAAGTAAGGAAAACCAGAACTTGGCTTCTCTTCTCTCCTCTCCACAACCACAGCTCTCGACAAAACGACCCCTTGACCATTTTCGCTTCATATCGCTCAACACCCCCGCCCCCCCCACCAAAATCTCCCATTGCGAAAAGAAAGGGGCATAACAGTCGACAGCCTTTTCACGAAGAGAAAAAAAAATAAAATAAAGAAAGGAATTAACGCGGGTATATAGAAAAACGCACATCACTCCCACTCCTTCGTTTTTTCTTTTTTTTTTTTTCATTCCACTCCTATCTCTTATCCCCCCAATCCCCCCTCCCTCCATACTCACCTCACCCTCTCCTCGTCATCCATATATATATATATGTGCGTTGGTATACGTCAGACATAACCTAAGTATGTCGAGGCATAGAAACGTGTGCCTGTCACCAGACGGTCTCGTTTCAAGAGAGAACAAATGTCAGCAGAACCTGCGTTAAAACTTACGCGCTGTGCAGTCTTATCAAGGTCAAGTAAACGCGGAACTGGAAGCTAGAGCATATATATATAGAAACACAAATAGAAAAATCTTTTATATATATATATATGCTATCACAAACAAGAGAATACAAGTGAAAGTGAAAAAACCAGTGCAAAGTAACAAAACATAAAAGAAATTAACCCTGTGTAGGCATCACGACGCTCGCCTTTGTATTAACCGCATCCTCGCTGCGCCACAGACTCGTCACCGTCTTCTGCTGCGTGTAGAACTGCAAGCCCGGCTTGCCGTAGAACGTGCTCGCGCCGCCGCCTGCGACACTCTTCTTGTTGCCCGTGAAGGAGAACATGGGCAAGGGGACGGGGATGGGTCTGGTGTATCAAGAAAAAGAAAAGTACATTTGTTAGTTATCGTCCATGTTTTGTTATATGAGGTTATTCTGATTTGCGGAAACGGGGAGCAGAAACTTACACGTTGATACCGATCTGGCCGGCCTCCAACTCGCGCTGGAACTTGGTGGCGGTGGGACCGGAGCGGGTGAAGACGGCAGCGCCGTTACCGTATTCGTTCGCGTTGATGAGGGAGATGGCGTCGTCGACGGTTTCGACCTCGAGACAGATGAGGACGGGGCCGAAGATCTCCTCGGTGTAGCAGCGCATATGTGGCTTTACGCCGGTGATGATGGTGGGGCCGACCTGTTGCACCGTGTTAGCTAACCACCAAAAAATGAACATAGAGAATGATAAAAAATAGCAGTAGGGGAAGTAATTCTCATGTTACATACCCAGTTACCATTAGGATATTTCTCAGGCTTATATCCGCGCCCATCAAGCAGGATCGTGGCACCCTCCTCCTCAGCGCTGGCAATGATGTCCTCAATCCGCTTCTTGCTCTGAGGGCTGATGACGGGGCCCAAGTCGGCACCTTCTTCGAAGCCACCGTCGACCTTCAGAGCCTTAGCCCGCTCAGCGATCTCCGGGAGCCACTCCTTGGTCTCTCCGACCATCACGAGGGTGCTCAATGCCATGCATCGTTGACCAGCAGCGCCAAAAGCAGCACCGGTGATGGCGTTCAGGGCGTGGTTCTTGTTGCAGTCTGGGAGGACGGCAGCATGGTTCTTGGCTCCCAGGTTAGCCTGGACTCGCTTGCCGTTGGCCGAGCCGCGGGTGAAGATGTATTCACCTGCGCGGTTGCTGCCGACGAAGCTGATGGCCTTGATGGCGGGCTCGTCGATGATGAAGTCGACGGTTTTGGCAGAGCCGTGTACGACGTTGATGACTCCATCGGGGAAGCCGGCTTCTCTAGCCAGCTCAACGAGGATCATCGCAGCGCCGGGGTCACGCTCGGATGGCTTGAGGATCAAGCAGTTGCCGGTTACAGTAGCGGTAGGGATGGACCAGAGGGGAATCATAGCAGGGAAATCTAGTAAAAGTAAATTAGACATTCCTGGCTTGCCAAAAGTATTTCAAGAGAGAAAAATAAAAAATCAAATTAAAAAATGACATACTGAAAGGGCAAATAGCGGCAACAACACCCAAGGGCTCTCTATAGCTCCTGGTCTCCATATCCTTAGCGACCTCCAGCACCTCGCCCGTAAGCTGGGTGGTGATACCGCACGCCGTCTCCGCAACCTGCAGACCCCTGAGCACATCACCCTTGGCATCAGCAAAGGTTTTCCCCTGCTCCAGGGTGATGCTGGCAGCCAGACGATCCCAATTCGCACGGATCAGGTTGGTGAACTTGAAGATGATCTGCTGCCTGGCCATGATGCTGGTGGCGCGCCATGCGGGGAAGGCTTTTTGAGCACTCTCGACGGCGGCACGCAGCTCCGCTTCGGTGCTCTGGGGCACGCGGGTGACGAGGTTGTTGGTGGCGGGGTCGTGCAGGTCGATCCAGGTGCTGGCGTTGGAGGGGAGGAATTTATTATCGATGAAGTTGCAGGTGTTGACGGGGGAGGCGAGCGGGGAGTGGCTCATGGGATAGTTCTCCGCTGGGTACGGGGCAGCTGCTTCGGCAGAGGCAGGGCTCAGCTGCTGGGCTGTGGCGTGTAATCTGCGGAGGGCAGTGTGCGATGTGGGGAGTTTAGAGGCCATTCTGCTGGTGCTGGTGCTGGTGGTGGTTATGCTGCGAGCGGAGACGGATGTGATGGGGATGCGGGGAGAGCTGGCGGAGCGAGCGGTGAGGGTGGGGAGAGAGCGGGCAACGGCACGACGGGCGGCCATGGCGGCTAAACAGGGGGGAAATAGCTTAGTGACACAGAGAGAGATAGAGAGAGACGAAGAATGCGCTCGACATACAGGAGGATATACAGGAATATAGAATAATTAATATAGCCAGACGAGCGGGGTATATACATATGTACACAGGAGATGGTGGTGGCCAGCAGATATATAAGCAGCAAGGTACGGTACCGTAGTATTGTTCTTTTCTCCGCGCTGTCTTGTCTCTCGGGCCCCGGAAAGCCAAAGCGCTTTGCTGCGGCGTTCCCAGGCCAATCACACCGCCGCATCCTCCCAGCTCGCTCGCCGTCGGCCCACCAATCACAACCCATTTCTCTCTATATATTATAGAAAAACCAACTTTTCCGAGTAAAATGTGTTAGAGGATAACGTTGTCATCTATAATCTATCTAGGGTGAAACTATATATAAGTTGGGTAAGTTGAGTGGCACGTGATTAGGGTAGGTGTTGGTGATTACTGTGGGATGGTTATGTAGCGGCGGCCGCCTTGGTGGCGTTGCCCTAGCGATCGCTCCGCCTGCACGTGATCTCTTATGTTATATAACATAGCTAGCACTTCTCACACAAATAGAACAGATTAACCTTTTCCATGTACAGGTTACAGCCTGGATGTTCATGATTTTTCTTTTAAAAATATCTTAATGCACACGAGCCTCTGTGTACAAAGACATTGCAGAGCTAAGCTGAAAACAGAAGACTCTGCAAGATTGATTTTACAGCTTACTAATAAAAGACATAGAACTGTAACTGCAGTGAAAGTATGTCTCTAGAGATGAAATAAGATTAACTTAAGAATAAGTTGAATGATAATATAGATAATTGATTAAAGACTGAAGAGAGATCTGTAAAACTGAGAGATGAATTAATTATCAAAGATAATAACTGCAGCTATTTTCTTAATTAAGTTAAGAATAAAGTTGATAAGAGATGTTCTCTATAACATCTTATAATTCAAAGATTGCTTGAGTCAGTGTATAATTACAGATGTATACTAACTTCTTATATACTGTATATTAAATTAATTGATGACTGCTATATCTTCTTTATATTTGTAAGCAAGTTCAGAAGCAGTTATATTATTATTTAGTAGTTGTATATTCTTCTAAACTACATTCTTTCTCATCAGATTCAGTCACACTTATATGATTATATTATACACTCTAGCTTTATGTGAATTAGCATACTACTAGTATTCATGATTATATAATCTATTTCTGATTTGACTAGCATTCTGCATATATTCTTACAAAGAAACTTTCACTATATTATATTACTTATTCACTAACTTTTCTCATTCTTCAATCATCTTCTTTATTATTATTATTATTGAATATTACTATCTTATTCAAGATTTCTGTCTCTTCTCTTATTTAACATCTTCTATCTGTTATTTATCTATTATATTATATGTGTTTCTGATGATAACTATTCATTCTTATAACAAGTGTTCTTGTAGTGTTTATACTAAGCAGTTTATTAGCAGTAAGTGTAATATATTATGAAATATAATCAGAACTTGTTTATCTTCTAATAATTACTATAATATATTATTATGAATGACACATCTTCTTTATTTTCTTATACATTCTCAATCTTCTTTTTCTAGTGAGTATCTGATTATGTTTTGTATAAATATAGATGCTGATATTTTATTTTAATTTGTATAAAATCTTTATACATTGACAGATCTGCATTTATTAATAATTATAATCTCAATATTGAATCATCAGTTGAGAACTTGAAGAATGTGATAATGAAGAAATTATCTATACTACGTATAATCAGATCTCTCATATTTCTCTCTACTACTCTCTCTTAATCTTCTACATCTGTCTCTGTGTCTGATTCTCTCACTTCTGCTATTTCTGTTCTCATGACTCTTACTTCTGCTACTTCTACTCTCTCTGCTTCTACTGTCTCTGCTTTCATTATCAGCTCTCTCTGTTTTAAGAAGATGTTGTATAGACTTAATGAACTATATTTCTCAGTATATACACTTTCACTCTTCTTATTGGCTTCTAAAATAATTTATTATATAAAGACTATATATAATATAACTATCTGAAGCTCAGTCACAGATGCTAATTATTATATTTATTTTAAATATTCATAATGAAATAATTATTCATTTATATCAGAGAATCACTCTCTCTCTTAACAGTGTTGAAATTGTAAGTCTTTCTTTTTTCATCTTCTCTTTCTGACACTGATTTTTCTGTTCTTAGAAAAAATTATTATGAATTTTATTATGCATGAAGTTATGATATTCACAGATATTAAGAAACTTTTTACAACTATTAAATTCAATATTACAGATATATCTACTCTAGTGAATATCTTTGAAATAATTAATCTGTATCAGCTTATTCTCTGATATTTATTATCTAACTTTGTAATGCAGCTGAAGAATATTCACATTTTCAGAAATAGAAATACAGATATTGTACTCTTTTACATCTGTAGATATGAGACTCATATGTCTTATCTGAGATATCATTGTGAAAATGAGCTGTTTATATACTGTGTTCTGCTTTCTGTATTTCTCTGTGTCTCTCTCTCTCTTTCTGAGAAGCCTTGTACATGTTGTAATTACACATACAATTCTAAGATAAGTGAGTGTTTGTTTGATAATTATTATCTTTGTTTTTATAATTTTGTATACTAATAATAGTTCTTAGTTACTTCAGTGTCAGAGATCATTTTAATTGAAGATGACAATGTTATTGAGACTATTCTCTCTCACTCTTAAGCTTCTTTTATTACTTTCTCTTTCTCTTCTATAAGAAAGGTTGTGCACACACTGAATTATAAGTATTTAATCTCAGATAACTTCTGCTATCATTCATTCAGTTCTGTATCTTCTTCTTCTTTTATTTCTTTTATCTTTATCTTCTCTGCTCTGACTTCTGATTCTGTGAGTCTTATGCTCTTCTTCAATTTTTCTACACATATGTGTATACATTTCTATATTGACATTTCAGTCAATCTTGTGATAAATAATATTAATGTTGTATACAGAGTGATAGAGAAATCAGAGACATGTATAATATTATTATAAGAGCAGCTTACAGCTCTCAAATTCCTTGCAGATCTTGAGTTTTGAGATTTTCTTTATTTTTGACATTTTTCAGATGACATGATGTTGAAAATAGATTAAATGTGTGATATATGAAAATGAATGAGATATATATAATAACATTTGTCTTTTTACAGCTAACTCTTATAATTGATAATTAATTCATTATCTCTTTTCTTTTCTTATACTTTTTCTTTATCTGCTAGTCACTACTCTTACACAATCTCTATATAATACAGTATTCAGTGACTAGATTCAGCAGCTTTCATCTTTTATAATTCTGTCTCATGCATTATACTGTCTCTCTTCACTCACTCAGATTACTACAGTAAATAGTTCATTGAAACTAATCTCATCTGATCTCTGAGCATTCTCAGAGATTGAGATGACTTGATTTCATATATCTGTGAATGTTTCAGATGATTCATTCTCTGTTGTCTTTATAATTGAACTGATGTAAACAGTTAAATTCAACTCTGAATCTCTTTTTCTTCTATGATCTGACTTATGTATAAGTCTGCTGCTTTGAGACTGTTCTTTACTATGTTGCATCTGCTATCTGCAGTGTATTATTATATAATCAGCTACAGTCTCATTACTTATTGAAGTGTGATATTTATCTAATTTCTTCATTACTTCTCATTCTTTTCTTATACTTATGAAAAGATTAGAATAAGTGAGATTATCTGATTCATAAGTATCTATGATTTCTCTTACTTTATAAGACTTTTTAATTATAAGTCTCTTCTTTTTCAACACTGATAATAGTACTGTGAATAATTATAATCTGCTCAGATCTTGTACATTTATTTTTATAAGATATGAATCATTTATTAAGTTGTATAAGATCTGTCTCTCTGATTCTTTCAATGTATATATTCTCAGAGAATGTGATTTGAGTATTTTATAGAGCTTAAATTATCTAGATTGAAACTTCTCAGAACTCTCATTACATACAAGAACTTATATTCTTATCTTAAGACTTAATTTCTTAACTAGTGAGTCTCATATTCTTTTTGATTGAATTGCTTGATTCAGAAGTAACTTGTTAACTTTTGTATGTATGTGACTGATCTCTTTCAATCTTGATTCTGTGTCTGTAACTGCTGTGTCTGTGACTGTTGTATCTTCAACTATTGTTTCTACTATGTCTGTAACTGATGTATTCACAACTGCTGTTTTCTCTCTCATCTTTTCTAAAGCATTCTCTGGAATGTGCAGATGCAATTCATACAACAGATAGAATAATAAACACTTGAAAACTGCGTACTATTAAATCTGTGTGATCAATAGTGCCTGTCTGAGATATTCATTTCATAGGCTTATAAACTTACTCACTAGATATTTCATCAGCATGTTACTGTAAGAATAAGTGCTCGCAGGCGATTATTCAGGTGTTTGCAGCTTGGCGTGATATGTACTGTTAACTACTAGAAGTATTCATGATAGAAAGATAAAATATAGAGATTAAATGTATAGTAGCATTCAAGCTGAGTTATAAATAGTATTCATGAACTTCAGTCTATATAGTTGTATGTAGTCAAGGGCTGCTAGCTCTATTAATTACATAAGAGATAGAAATAGAAGTAAAGAATCTGTGAGAAGTGAGATTTCTTACATACTTCTCTCTCTCTAAGACTTCATTCATGAAGTCTTTCACTGAGTGACTTCATAGAATCAGCTCAGCACTGCAGTGATACTCACTAAAAACTCTTTATATCTATAAAAAACCTCAGTGAGGAAAAATTCCTTATTACTATAAAGAGAAAAGAGTCTGTCACTCAGTTCTTTATTCTGTGAGATTCTTTATAGTCTACAGATTCTTCTCTAACTATCACACAGATTCATCTTATATCTTTCATATAGAAGAGTTCTGATTGACTCTTAATTATTTTCATGAGATTCTTATGTAATTATTATACAGATTCATCTTACAGATGAATCACTCTCTGTGAGATCACTCTTATTAAAGAGAAGTATTTATAAGTTAATCTTTCACTTATTCTTATAAATCATTGTTCTTTAACACTGTAGAATTGTGAGAAATTTTTCATTCTTTCATTAACTCTGTAGAATTGTAGAATCAAGATATTCACAGTCTGCAATCACTCTTTATAGTTATATAGAAAGATTCAGATCTGTGATTCACAATTACTCTTATTTACTAGAGTGATCTGACTGTTCTGTGAGATCACTCACAGTGTAAATAAATCTCTCTAAAGTAGTATAAATATCTCAGATCTATCTGTGAAATCTCATCTTCTTTTCTCTTTTTCTATAACAGCTTT